GACGGTTTTCAATAAAAATGTTTCTATTAACTCAGTGGGCACAACCAGCTCCTTGGGGTCCCACACAACTGGTTTGATGGGATGCAGGGCAGAGGAGAAGGACGTGGGCAAACAGGGGTGGACAGGAGGAACTGGAAGGGTGCAGGACTATCTGCTTTCAGGAATTAGTGCAACATAAAACTATATCCTAAGGATAAGAAGTTATAACTTCTGAAGTCAGGCTACTGCAGTCCAATTCTTCCCTCTTTCCTCCCTCCTGTCAGCAGCACCATCTCACAGCCAGGCCCCAAACTGGCTGAAAACAAACCTGGATGAGGCGAGACATTACCAGGACAGGGATGTATTGGGGGAGAAAGGGTAGAAGAATGAAGAGGAGACAACAGGATTGACAGGTCCTGGCACAAGGGCCTGCAGCAAAAGGCAAGCAAACAGCACTAAACTACTCCTTGTTTACACAGAAAAACAAGGGACAAACCCCAGCATGTGGTGAAGCTATTGCAAAAATCTAGATGGGTCCCTGGAATGTTGACATTACTTAATCTAAGTTATACTGCAAGGACTAAACAACTGCAGTCTGAGAAATCATTACAGAGCTAGGCAGAACACACAGAACACGTAGTAACCATTCCTCCTAAATTTTTACCCTTGTAGGCTGACAATAGAACACATAACTCTACTAGTCTGTAAAAACCAAAGAGACTTCTTCAAGACTACAGGAACCATCTAGTGAAGCCTTGGAACTTTTTTTCTGCACAAAGAAAACTACAAATTATGAAGCATTTTAGCAGTGCTAATAGCTAATATCCATGGTAACAGCTTGTTTTAAGTCCGGCATCTTGAATCACCTCAAGACCAAAACAATTTAAGTATCCTCTGTCTTCTTCACATTCCCCCCCAACCTATCCAAGCTTGGAACAGTTTTGAGATCAGTTTAACTAATATACATGCACATTTTATAATATGCTATTTTATCAACTTCCAAGGCTTAACGGTTTCACTCAGTCCTTGAAAATGCTTTTGCTATCCCGTTATTCTCTATTTAAACTAGTTACAATTCCAGAGCAATTCAAAAGCAAATTACTCTAAAATCCCTCAACTCAGTATTTGATTACAATGATTAAACGCACAGCAAGGATATCTGCAAAGTTTGCAATGTATTTAACCTCAACAGTATAGGGACACACAAGATACTCTCAGAGGAAAAGCCAGGTACTGAGCTGTATAAAAGAAACACACACACAAACAGATTCTGAATTAAACCTTTGTTTAATTAAAAAAACCATAAAACATAATAAACTAAAACAGAGTTGTGCAATGCCAGTAACAACTCCTGGGAGTTGTCAGGACTCCACTGCAACAATGACTGCATTCTTCCACTCATCACAGCCTCAAGAAGTGTGGTGTTTATGACTTGCTGGAAGAACTGCAACTGTTATTTCTGCATCCACTTTTATCACTGACAGCAAAATTACCTTTAGAGAAAAACTGGATTACCATGAAATCGAAAGGGTCAAAGTCTATTTGGCCAAAACAACAACAACAACAAAAGGCAAAAAGCCCTGTTCATCAATTAGGGATTCTGTGCTTTACTTCTAAGGACTGTTATTGTTTCTTTGTTCAATTGTAGGGTTTTGAAACATGTTTCCTTTAATGACTCATTTCATAATAATTCAAGTAAAACATTTGTATTTTTATGTAATTATGAAAAAGTGAGCATGACTAAAAGGGATGTCAAAACACTTTCCAAACATACTCACACACTACTGTATGCTTTCTCTGTGAAGAGCATCCATACAGAAATTAAATACAACAGCAAGACAGAATAAAGGTTAGAAGACAACAAGTGCTTGAAAACAGGTAAGACTTAAGGTTTCTGATGCAATATTAACAGCTAGTCAGAAATAAAGTATCTCCTTCTGGCTTTCTGAGCAGCTAGCATAATCTAAGTTAGAATCATTAAGTTTAAGAAAAAAAAATCAAAGCAATTAGCAGCATTTTAGTTGAAAATTCAGTGGGGGATATAAGAGTTATTGAACTTATTTCCACCTGAAGCCAGGCCATGCTGTTTCAAGCAGTTTCCAAAGAAGAAGGGCCTATAAATGCACTTAATAGTCCTACTGCAAGCAGCACTATTATGGAAAAGCAGAGGGAAACCCACCAGACTTCCAGAGAGTTTTACGTGAAAAGTGATCTGGGTACCACTACCATCTACCAAGTGTATAACTTAGGCAAATATTTAGCTCAAATACCTGAGGAAAACCAGAAAACTTCAGAGAGCTGTAGAAGGTTCTACTCTGGAGTATTTTTCTACTTCTGAGATAAAGACATCCAGTGAAGATTTTACATGAAAATACACTCCACAGCTCTAAAACCTGATTTTTATACTTATAAGAAAAGCACCGAGCATAACTCTAAAAATTAATCTCGAAAATAGAGCCCTCCCCATTAATATGGAGAAAGGGAATGGAAAGGTGACCATCTAACTAACGCTTTCTTTGGCCAAAAGAAGTTAGTGTTCTTCCTCTCTCTCTCTCTCAAAATACTCTGTCCGCACCTTCAGAATTAGGCAACAGAAGTAATGGAGGAAACCTAGGGTGAAGTCTTTTACGCAGCAGCAAAAGGAACTAAAAAACCTTCAGCAGGATAAGACAGACATCCATCTCCTTCCCACATGTAGGTGCAGCTACTATCAGTACTGCAAAGCCAAGTTAAGTTAAATAGGAGTGGTTTTACAACCACATTAGTATTCAGATGCATAAAAAAGTTTAAGCATCGCTGTAAAAAACCACTAATAAATAGTTCATTGTAGACATTTTCATTACAGGACATATTGTAAAATGCCAGTATTAACTTTTTAATAAATATATATATATATGCACACAAAGCCCTGCTGGTTTTTCAACTAATTACAAATACTATACAGCAGGAAGTACAGTTAAAATACCTTCAAACTAAAACAAATTTTCTAAAACAAATCCCAGTTTGTCACTAGATAAAAATCTTTTTATCTCCTGTTGCATAAAGTGTGCACCTGCAAGAACTTCCTTCACTTTTTAAAGTTCTTTAGAGTAGCAGCCATAAAAGCCAAGCAGAGGTACTATAGCTAAACACAGGGGCCCTGTGGGTTCTATACCAGCAGCAAAGGACCTCAGCCCTTCCAACCTGGTGTTTCTGGGCACTCAGGGTGGAACCCAAACATGATTTTTAATTGAGAAGCATCTGCTACGACAGGCCCCGGGCAGCATAAACAGCAGATGTCTGAAGAGGCTCATGGGGAGCACAGACTTCGACTACTTTATACGTGGAACTTCAAGGAGCAAAACAGGCTTTGGACAGGAACCGTAGCTGTCAGGTATTTTATGCTTTTGGGTACCAGGGTGTAAATTAACGCCACCCACCTCCCCACAAACTCGGCTTCTTTTTAAGACAGGCTAGCCAACTCTGCTGCGTAATGCGAGAATTAGCTCTGTAAGTATTACTCTCGGGCTTTCCAGCCTGGAAAGCTGAGACACTGAGATGGCCGGGGGGCAGGCTTTTTGCAACAGGAAAAGCCGGCGTTAACGAAACAAAACAAACAAAAAAAATAACAAGACTTTTTAAGGCGCCAGTGGTACCCCCGGCGGGCTGGGCGGGGCCGAGGAGGCCGCAGGGCCGGGCTGGACCCTCGGAGGCGACACCGCACGCCCCCGAACCCGGCCACACGGCGGGGCCGCGCCTGCACGCGCTGAGGGGACACGCCCCCCTCCCCTCACACCGCGTCCCGCGCCACAACACCCTTCCCCCCGCTCCTCCTCCCCTCACGGCCGCCTCCCGCCACGGCCCGGCACCGACCTCTCCACCCACTCGCGGAGGAAGGAGAGTTCCGGGGTGTGCAGCAGCCCCGGGTTCTGCTTGCACAGCCGGACGAAGGCCCGGAGCTCGCTCAACTTGCGCGCGTCCATGGCGGAGCGGCGGCAGCAGCAGCACCAGCAGCGGCCCAGGCGCGCTCGCTGCCCCGCCCCCCCCCCCCGCCGCGGAACCTTCCAGCCCGCCCCGCCCCTCGAGGCCCTGCCTATCACAAGGCCTGGCCCCGCCCACCCATGCACCGGCCCCGCCCATCCATGCGCCGACCCCGCCCATCCATGCGCCGGCCTCGCCCACCCATGCACCGGCCTCGCCCACCCATGCGCCGGCCCCGCCCATCCACGCGCCGGCCCCGCCCATCCACGCGCCGGCCCCGCCCATCCATGCGCCGGCCCTGCCCAATACAGGAAATGCCACGCCCTCTCCAGGCATTGCCCTCCACATTGCCGCGCCCACAGCCCCGCGTGGCGCCATGGAAGCTTCCAGCGCGCCACGCCCCCCCGGCCCCGCCCCCCCTCGCCGGGCCCCGCCCGTCTCGCCGGGCCTCCCCCGCCCTCCGCGGCGAGGCGGCAGGAATTTTCTGAAGGCGGCGGCGGCGACGGCGTTCAGCTCTGTTCTCTACTTAGTGTTGCTGCCCGCCCGCTCGCTCTCCCCCGACCCCACTGCCGCGCCGTGGCCCGTGTTCCCCCTCATGGTCGGGCAGGCGGCCTCCGCGGGCGCCTAAAGCCGGCGCGGCGCCGCTCATTGGCGGCAGGCGGGCGGCGCGCGGCGATGGTGTCAGCGCGCATGGCGGGGAGGTCCCGCCATGCGCCCTGTGCCCTGTGCCCCGGCCATGTCGCGCCTGCGGGGCCCGGCGCTCGCCGTGGCGCTGAGGGGCTGGCGCGGCGCCGCAGGTCAGACACCCCTCCTACCCCGCACCGCCGCACCCGCGCCCCCAGGCCCTGATCCCGTTCCCAGGGCTCCGCTAGCGACACCTAGTTATCGCTGCTCAAAGCCCCGCGTTCGCTCTCCGGTCCGCTGTCGGTGCTGCCTTCAAAACGTTGCTCTGTTTAATGCCCGCTGTGTCCTCTCGTCTCGTTGCGAGCTGCCCTGTTTGACTGCTGTGTACGTGGAGGGAAACAGTGGAGACACTTGTTTTAAACTGAACTGCCCAAAAAGCTGCAGTTGTATTTCACCGCCTGGGTCTCCAGTCAGGCATGACATAGTGAGCGCTTCGTGTTTTGACAATTGGTTGTCGTGCATAAGTGATCTTCATGAGTGGCTTCGTGAGCCAGTCATGCTCGCTCCCCCTGTGAATCCACTGTCTGTATGTTTTGCTGTAATCCCCTGAGTCTCGGCTCCCTCAAGGGCAGCTGGTTTGTTTGTCTTATCCTTGCTTATGCTAGTGAAAAGTTAATTACTGTGTGTTCTAAGAATCCAGTGCCATGCTATAGCAACTCAAATTGATTTTGTAGTAGGTGCATGGTAAGTGACAACCCGTTTTCAAGACACCAGGTAGACGTTTACCCTCTGATTATCTTCTCCTTCCACGTGTCTTGATGATTTGTACCTAGGCACAAGCAGTTTTTCAGCTGCAAAAGGCTGTGGCTGAGAATTCTAAAGTTGGTAAAGTTTCTGACAACTCATGTTTCATTTTAGCTTTTGTCTTACCATGCCCACTCCCAGCTCCCAGATGTATGCTTATGCTTGTAATTTGCTTTAAAACTTGACTGCTTTGACTGTGTGTGGATTTGGAGGTGGGATACATAACTATTCAATTTGGCTAATGCTACTGTCCAGTAAGTTGAATACATAAATAGGGACTCTGGAGTATCTTTCATACAGGAAAAAAAAATCACATTGCTGTATAAACCTGTGTTATTTGATGATTTCTTTGCTGTGTTATTAGTAAAAAACAGAACTGGAAAGGCCTTGGAAAATGTATAGTTTTTCAAGGTGAGGGATATTTTTTGAAGACATAGTCAAGAAGAGACAATATACAGGTGTTGTGCTTGGAGCCCTGTGGTGTTTGAGGGAAGCAAGGGAGGGAGAGCATCAAGTACCTCCTGAACACCAAGTGTATGAATTGGGATGTGCAAACCAACAGAGCTTCCTGGGTTTTCTTGCTGAATTGTTGGGTTTAGCATACGTTCGTTTCTTTCAATCTGTTTTATGAGTATTTGATCACTAGTTGAGTTGTGTGCACATTGTTTCATAAACTATGGTGGCACACAACAGATCGAGAAGCTAAGCAGGGATATTTATGCCATGTAAGTGAATGAATGCTCCTAAAAGTCTGAAGACTGTAGTAGTATTCAGCAATTTTCTAACTGGAAGGGTTTTTCTCACCTTGACGTGGTGCATTTCTTTTCCTCCAGTTTGCAAGTCATGTGCTCTCCGAAGATTTTCCATCCAGCCTGCCCAGCAGAAGAAGATTCCAAACCGGTATTTGGGCCAGCCCAGCCCTATCACACACCCACATCTGCTCAAGCCAGGTAAGGTTTGGGCACTGTGTGAGCGGATTATTGGTATTCATTCTTGTTTCTGCTTTTTTGAGCGCATTGATTTGCTGCATCATACAGTTGTCTGGAGTTTCAGCTGTTTATGATTACCTTCATTAGGCAGTAATTATATTTAGGAACTAATTTCCTTGTCTGAGATGATACTGATTCCAAAAATAGGCTTCACAGGTTTGCTTTTTTACCTTTTTCTCATGGTGTGGTCAGGGTCCTTACTTGGGTGCTGCAAACCTTTCGTGGCAGTGGCATTTTGGGAGCTCATTGTCCTGAAAATACATATGATTTTTATTAAGAGTGAGTCTTTTGTGCAAGCTGAACTGCCATAATGTTTCATATAAAGGTGCCATTCAGAAAAGGTGACTGGGGAGGGACATTGATAGATGGACACCACTTGTCTAAAGAATGTCCCCTCTTCAGAGGGGATTCAATGTGAGGAAAAGGGGAAAAAGAGACTTGTGACTATGAAGTTTGACAGCAACAATGAAAAAGAAACTGAGGTTTTAGATTTTTTTGAGATATAATGAAAATAGGTATGAGATGACCACAACTAAATCTAAAAAACTCCCTAAAAATATTTAAATGTATTCAAGAATATGTCCAGGAAAGCATTCTTTTCTGTGTTCTTCTTCCACAGGTGGGTATACAGGGAGAACAGATGAATATATAACCATATACTTCTATACTTAATTGTAGAATAATTCAGGTCAGAAGGAACCTCACAGGTGAACAGGTTCAACCTGTGCTCAGAGCTGGGCTTACTTCAGTATGGGATCAGATTGCTTAGGGCATTGATTGACAGCTCACTGTAAGTGAGGCCAACCCTTTAAAAGTACTCAAAGCTGAAACAGTGGAAGTGAATTCTAGCTGCTCATAGTATTTTTCCTTTTAATACAGGAGAGGTGTTTTCCTTAAAATAATATGACATAGTTTTATTGCAATTATTGTTTTAAAAAACAAATGCCTTTAAGGCAAAGAGAATTTCCAGGCCTCACAGTTGGAAGACAGCTGGGATTCCCATGTTCCACCATATTGCAGCTTCTAAAATTCACTGGACTGTGGCAGTTAGAAAGCTGACTGGAATACAGTGGAATATAGTAAATTTGCAGTATAATATTGCAGAATTGTGAGGTCAGATTGCACTACAGCGGTTTCTACGTTCTCTGTAATTTCCAGATCTATAGAGTAAAACAAATATGGTGGGTTTATTTCTTTGTTGTTTTGGGGATTTGGGGTTTTTTAAAGACTTTTACACCTAATAGATGTTGGGAATGTAAGTTTTTGAAAAGGTCTAAAATTTAACACAAATACAGCATACATAGTTTTCTTAAACTCTTTTGTCAAGGAAAAACATTTTGGATAGAAGTTTCCCCTCCCACTGCACTTATGCAAGAATTCACTTACAGTACAAGTCAAATGTAAATTTTTATTCTAGAATTAATACCATGTTATACGTTAAAGAGGAAGAAAAGATTACTGAAGTAGAAAGTGAAAAGTATCAAAATGCAGTCTATGTTAATATATTAGCCAACGTACTGATTAACGCTCTTGTATTAATTTAGATCATAGTTAGGGAGTCTCACATTTTTAAAAATACATACTTCAGCTATTGTTGGTTGTCCTTTCAACTTCAGTCTGGTTTTGTTGAGTATCTTGATTGCTGTACTTCATATCTTTTGTGACTGGAGCAGTTTAAAGAGTTCTTTCATCTAAGAGATCATTTGTTTCGTGTCATTAGAAATATAGTATTTAACTTTGGAAAAATCTGAATTGTTAAATATTGAGAAAAGCTACATCTGCCCTGGAGAAGATCCCTTCTCTTAATCGGAGTCTGATGCCAGCCTGCAGTCCATGATTTGGTTCTGCCTGGAATCTTGTGACTGGTTAGACTCTGCAACCTCTATGTTTCTGCATGATCTCCCGGAATCTGTAACACTCAATCTGCCCCTTATGGTTTAGAGCTAGTCGTTTTATGAGTTGACTTAGTGTATATTTGAACAGACATTCTAGCTTTATCTGAGGGAATTAATGCTCAACCTCAGGAGACAAACTTCTGTTCAATGTCCAGATGCTGTAAAACCCATCAGTTTTTAGCAGTTAAAGTTCAGTTTGCCTCACTCCTTCCTTTTTTTTTTTTTGCATGTCTCTATGCAAACATCCATCTGTTTTGGATTTTTATCTAAATTTACCAGGTTTGTGATTTCTACCTTTGCACAGAAATACGTAACACAAAATCCAATTGGCTGAAATAAATTTCTGTCTCCACGTGATGGAGAAGCAGTTTGAGTGAGAATGTGCTGGAGGGATAGAAGCTGAAGAGGTGCACAGGAAAGCAATGGAAAGGCTTGTGAGGGATTACAGCAAAGCCATGCACATGTAAGGCATCAGGGAGTAGGCAGGAATCAGGTTACAACTAATAGAATGTCCTAAGTGTCTTGAATTTCTCCATATGATTTGTTTTGTATTCACAGGAGAGGTAACCCCAGGATTGTCACAGGTGGAATATGCTCTTCGCCGGCACAAACTGATGGTGTTGATCCAGAAGGAAGCCCATGGATGGGATGGATTGGACCACACAGTGATTCTGCTATCCAACCCCACATATTACATGAGCAATGACATCCCCTACATTTTCCACCAGGACACTAACTTCCTGTACCTCTGTGGGTTTCAGGAGCCTGACAGCATCCTGGTGCTGCAGAGCATTCCTGGCAAAGCGCTGCCATCCCACAAATCCATACTTTTTGTGCCCCGGAGAGATCCAAAGCGAGAATTGTGGGACGGGCCCAGATCAGGCCCAGATGGGGCCATTGCTCTCACAGGAGTAGATGAAGCTTACACCATTGATGAGTTCAGGCACTTGGTGGCCAAGCTGAAAGGTAACAAAAAATAAAGGGGAAATGAAATGAGATGTGGTTTTCAGAGTCTGAATGGTATGGGTTTGGGAGGTGACATCAATTCAAGACTATAATGAACTTGAGGAGGTGCAGTGGTATTAATATGACAAAGACAATTGGAAGTTCTTGTTAGTTTGTTGAGGGCCACCAGTGGAAATACGGTTTTCGCAGAATCACAGAGTCTGTTGAGTTAGAAGGGACCCACAAGGATCATCAAGGCCAACTCCTAGCCCTGCACAGGACCATCCCCAAGAATCACACCATGTGCCTAAGAGCATTCTGAAAATAATAGTTTTTTCTCCCCTCTGAATTTCTTGTGCAGACTGTCATGCACATGGATACACATCTGTGAAATGTTCAGGAACAGGATAAGCAAGAACATATTAGTGTTCTAGTCATATCTGTTTGCTGACAGAGCCAGAACCAGATGATGTATAGGAAACTTGAAGGTATGTTATTCACAGTAGACTTGGAAAATTATCCATACAGGGAGTTTGTTAGTCCACTCACATTTTTTTAGCTAGATGATGACTTACTCTTGAAATATGAACACTGCTGTCCTCTAGAAATATTCCTTTGCATTTAACATCACTGTGTAGCCTCAGTACTTATAATCCAGGGGGAACTTAAGTGCATTATAGAATGAAGCTGAAGAACGCTTATGATGATATAATAAGGGCAAGTGCTTGGGGGGGGTCAAACAACTAGAATGAGTGAATTTTGGAGTTTTATGGGACCTAGTAACTTTGTTTCAAAAAAGGATATATTGAAAATAGATAAGTCACAGAAAGGGCCACAGGGATGATCAACAGTATGGAGTGTGTGAGATACATGCTGGATGAACCCACTTAGCTTGAAAAAGAGAAAACAGAAGCCAAGGTATGAGATGTATGTGGTTGTGGAAAGCACAGAGAGGATGAGTAGGAACAATTACTTGCTGGTTTTCATAATTTAAAAAAAAGACAACACTGAATGAAATGATAACATGGCCGGTTTTGGCACCTTCTAAGTTGTAGGTCACTCATGGAAGGTTTGGGATGTGAAAAATTTTGAATTCTATGGGGGAAAGATCCATGAAAATCAGTAAATCAGTGTTATGAAGATGCAGCCTTGAAATGAAGAAACCAGAAGGGGGATTCTGGGGAGCGTGTGCTAAGGGAAATACTCTTTCATAAATGCCCAGCTTCTTAGACACTTTCTGTAAGCATTTGCTAATGGTTACCGTCATCAAAGAAGGGGGCCTAGGTGGGCGTCAACTGTGACTCACAATGGCTTTTCTCCTAATTTCTGTTTAAAATGTTCCTGTGGGGAGAATGTGAGTGCTAACTTTGTTCTAAATAAATGTCCACATAGTTAAATGTGTTTGTCCTGAGTTAGTTTATCTCAGAATGGTTGAAATAAGCAGTTGTTCCCCAAACTGTTCTGAAGTATAGTTGATCATGACCCTGATTCCATGGGTAAAAAGGTAAATTGCCTTACATCAGTGGGGACAGGCTAAATGACAGAACAATTCAGAATGTGCATCACTACAGTGCAATGCCTACTTAGATTACACAAGTGCGACTTTGACAAGATGTGTATATTCAGTGTTGGTCTTAAATCCCATTATTTGCCCAGAAGTGGTGATTTGTGAAATCTACTTGCTATGAATTGGTAATCTTCCAAACTTAGAAGAGATTGCTAGTATCCTGTGACAGTGAAAGTGTCTATATGGTCTGTCAATGCAAATTCAGAGGAAATTATTTGTCTCAAATATAGCAGCAGATCTAATTTAAGAGGAATGAGTCTGTTCAGTGTGGGAAGGACATGTCAACATTTATTTTTGTCTGTGTCAGCTTTTGTTTTGTATTCCAGGTGAGTCAAACATTGTTTGGTATGACTTGATTAAACCAGTGCATACAGAGCTGCACTCTGACTACATGCAGCCGCTGGCCGAGATAAAAGCTCGGAGCAAAAACCGCATCCAAGGCATCCGACATTTAGTGCAAAACCTTCGACTGATCAAATCCCCGGCAGAGATTGAAAGGATGAAGATAGCTGGACGGGTGACAGCAGAGGTAATGGGGTTGTGTGCTCTCTAGATGTGTGCTCTCTAGTGCATTCTGTTGATGGGGTGACATTGGTTGGAAGGATACCTTTGGTCTAATTTGTTACTGAACTGCTGTGTTTCAGCCATTGGCTGGGCTCAGCTCCCTTCATGTGACAAGGAGAAACAGGAAGACTGCTTGGACGACCAGCTTCTCTCAATCAGTGTAACTCAAGCAAAGACAAGCCAGCAGCTGTTAGACTTTGTTTAAAAGCATTATCTGTTCAGGGGTAGCCTTTTCACTCTCTTACCAGCTTCTGCTCTGCTTCCCCTCACCATTTTCTTTCCTGTCTATTCTGTTTATTTTGAGGAAACAGAATTTTTGTGAAGGCTTTGCCTATGTATGTCTCTGTATTCCCCCTTCTCCCTCAAATACCTTTTGAACTCATTGGCCATTTTAAACGAATGTGACAGATAACTCAATTGCAATTATGTTTTTGTAAATATTATCAAAATAGATAGCCAAATAGAAAAGAGAGGTACAGCTTGTCCTTCTCTGAAGGAAAAACTGCGTAAGGCACTCATACGTGAAGGAATCCATAGGTGAGACAACTCCTAAAATGCCAACCCATGGGATCAGCCTCAACCATCTAATCCTTTTTATCAAAACGGGAGTCAATCAGCTCCTAAATAGAGTTTCATGGGGAACAAACCTTAATTGGTTCTAGTCTTGACAGCACCTTGCACTTTCAGCTGCCTCTGGTGTTCTGGGCCAGCTGATCTTGAGCCTTCCTCAAAAGACAACAGGTTAAAAAAAAAAAAAAAGAGCTTCCCTCAAATTCAGGCTCTTTTGCTAACTGAAAGGCCTTTTTTTTTCATAGGCTTTCACAGAGACAATGTTTGCCAGCAAATCCCCAGTGGATGAAGCCTTTCTATATGCAAAGGTGAGTACTTTATAGCTGAAGGTGAGATAGAAGGGCTGGATGTTGGTTATCCTTCCAGCAAACGAGAAATGTCTGATCTCTTTATAATGTGTCTCCCACCATAGCACATTTCTTCTTCACCCAAATCTTGGACATGCAGAAGAGTCAGTGTGAGGAAATCTTCAGCAGTACTTCCAAAACCCTTATTGAAGGAGTGTAGTGGTTGTGTGAATTTGTCTGCTATTGATGTCTTTTTCTACTATATTTGAATACCAAACCTGCTAAACAGTCAGAGATATAGTTATTATCTTATCCTATAATACATTTCTGTTGTACAGAATTAAAGTAGTTATAACACCTGTTTATAAAGCCTGCTTCTCTTGCCTCTAGCCTCTTACTACATCAGATTACCACAGCTATCTTGAAGCAATTTAGATACTCTCAGTTACAAAATAAGGACTAATTGGCCTGCACATTTGGTAAGGAACTTCATGAGGAATTGCAGTTAGATGCCTGTTTGAGAAACATCAGCAGGATTTGACCCTCTGTTATGACGTAGATGGGCCTGTGCTGACGTGGCACTGAGCAGCAGTACTGAACTGTAAAGAAAACTAATTAAAGTGTATTTTACAGATCAATTTTTCACTCTAGATCAGGATTGTAAAACCTACTTTGCTCCGTGAATGCATCTTGGAGTTTTCTGTCCCACGTGATCCTGGTAGTTATAGAAAAGAGGTGCTATTAATATATTGAGGGTCTTTATAGATGTTAGTTCAATTCATTTCCATGCTTCCATCAGCTTCATCATTCAAGAAGGGTAAAGATCTTGAGGCCTGTGGTGCCTTTTTCTTACATTCTCTCAGACATCAAGGTAGTGCATGTTTTCAAACCTTCTTAGTTCAACAGTCATGGAAATAGATACTGCTGTAAATATGCTGGTACTTTGTAATTTTGAAAGACAGCAATAAAACATGACTATTGTCATGCTGGCATTTAGGATCTTTGAAAATTCAGAATGTTATATGGCAAATAAGCATTGTTTCATGTAAGAACAAATCCTTACCTAGATGCATGACAATGTAATGAATTTCATATGGTATTGAATAGCTTGTACCAGAAAAAGCTTCCATGACACTAGATGCAGGCTTAAAACACTCTTGAAAAGTGGATTGTTCTGTATTTTTTTCTCCAGAGTTCTTGGATAATATTCAAGGCTGCTTTCATTTAGTAAACTCACTTTCCAGTTTCACTTTGTGTTGTACAAATTAAGAAAACAGTTGTAGGACATGGATTACCCAGCCCTAGGGCAGTTAATCACCTGAAAGAGCACTAATGTTCTCCTCTCTGAATTATTGTTCCAGTTTGAGTTCGAGTGCCGGGCTCGTGGTGCTGACATCTTGGCATACCCCCCTGTTGTTGCAGGTGGCAACAGATCAAACACTTTGCACTATGTGAAGAACAATCAGCTCATCAAGGTAACCCATCTACTGTCCGGTAACTTGAAATGCAAAACTGTGACACACATGTATGTCCCCTAGCTGCTCTTTGTTTTGACTAAACATATCAAAGCACTTAAATATAAACTGAGCAAGGGAAAGGAATCATGCCCTGGTTAGTTTTTCTGTCAGTGGCAGATTAACTTCTCTTCCTCTCCTCTCTGCACTTGCTGCAGTATTTTCTGAGCAGTGGAAGGCCTTGCAAACAGGGTTGCAAATAATTTAGCGAGTACGTCTGCCCTCACACCGTGCGCAGCAGGGTGCGGTGCTGGGTGGGTCACTGACCTCACAAAAGAGAGGAGCCACTGCAGAGTGAAGGCACCGTGGGAGATCTGCTGTCACTTACATTGCTTAGTCTTGCTTTGCAACCTAAGGGGCAATAGTGCATTCCTGCTCTGGTGAAGCTGAAAAGCATTTTGGTCTGCACGTAGGCCAGCAAAGCAGGAAACGGGAACAAGGAGGGAAAGGATCAGCATTAAATGTCAAGAGGTGGATTATATGGCTTTAGGTAAATTAATGTTTTGTCTTATTTTGAAGATTCTCCTTATTGAATTGAACCCTCTCCAGCTTTCCTAACAATAGACCTTTAGATTCAGATAAGTATTTTCAGGAGCCGTATTCCCCCACTGCTCTGCTCACTATTCACTTTTCAGAGGAGCGTATTTTTCCTCTGTCTTAATGCAGGATGAAACTTTCCCACTAGCATTGTCTTTTCTTGAAGCTGGCATCTAGCAGACCTTGAAATGATCTGCAGAGGCAAATGTACAAAAGATATGATAGGCTGCTTTTGGCAGAAAGAAGCCTCCTTTGTTGTTCTGTCATCCAAGGTCAGGCGTGCTGATGTAACTCCAGTTGCTTCTGCTGATGTAACTCCAGTTGCTTCTGTTAAAGTTGTTCGGTTAAGTGACTGTCACTTGTTTTTTTTCCAAACTATTAAGTAGGAGGTTAAACCCGTAAACTTGACTCTTTCCTTGCCTTTGTGTGCTGCTTCCTACAGCTCTTGTTTCCAAATAGGCTAACAAAGTGTCTAATTTGGTAGGAATCTGAATGCATCCTTCAGTTCACCATTTAGTGGGCTCAGCTTTAAAGAAAGAGGACAAGAAGCACAACATAAGGCACTTACTGAACAATCAAACCACAAGCAGAATTCCCTTAGCCAATAAATTTGTTACTTAGCTTGTTTAATTGCTTGGAAGATGCAGGTGCTATAATTTCAGATTTTCTGCAATGGATTGAACCAACTATTCTGAAAAAGTTAAAAAGTACAATTTAAATGGATAGTTAATGGCCTGTCTATTCAGTGGGATAGTGAGATCTGCTCACTGGTAATTTATCTCCTGTGTATCTGTTTGTGGCACTTGACTGTACACAATGGTAGTAGATACCACTGGAAGTAGCACTAACAGTGAAATTCTGCTTGTTATTCTTTCCCTGAATCTGCTAGAATTATTCCTTGTCATTCCACATCATGGCTGCTGGCACAGTCATGGATCTGTGGAGTGAATCTCTGTAATAAAGTCCCTAGATTATATGTAGTGTAAATCTATAGAGAATTTAATCCAAACTTTTTAGAGATTCCACTGCTCTATTTGTTGTTAGCTTCTTTAAGGAGGGAGAGTAAAGCAGTGGTTTTGTTCTTGGCTCTTTGTCTTCCTTCTGTGTGACTTTTTGGGAGATGCATAATCAGTGATTTAATTGACATGGAACAGTTTTGCTGAAGTGAATCAGAGGTTCACATCTCCAAAAACTTTTTCTTCATCACCAGACAGATTCAGAAAGATATCTTAGAGCAGTCCAGAAAGTCCTAGAAAAGGATGGGGAAGATGATTCAGACTATTCAATAGTGCATTTACAGCAGTGATACACTGTCAGAGAAATTATTTTGCTGGGTCCTCCTGTCCTATGACAAGGCTAAATCTGTAGCTGTTAGTGATTTTACCGATAGCTCAGAAATTAATGGTTTTTTTGCAAAACCCTTCTGGCTCAGTCACTAGCAGAGAACTTCTAGTGGAAGGAGTCACTGGTGTAATTTGCAGGAGTAAGCAATCCAGGTGTGAATGGGATTGAGAGAGCAGAATAGTTCACGGTAAATGTTATTTTACTCCAAAATGTTTGAAAATCAGCATGGTAAGGGTTCAGACAGTAGATAAGCATAACAGTCAGAGACTACCTCGCAGAGAAACAATCTAACTGGAATAGCCTGTTTAAAACCAGTAGCACCTGGGGTGTTACTCTGCAACAAGAATTCACACCTCTGCTACTGCTTTGTGAAAATAAGTGCATAACCTCCTTTCCTGCTCTCAGACAGAAAAAAATCAGTTCAATTAATAGCTGGACTGACCCACACAGCATTTTTTTCTTGTTATTCTGCAGGGTGGTGAACTGGTCTTGTTAGATGGTGGATGTGAATTGTCCTGCTATGTGAGTGACATCACACGTACCTGGCCTGTCAATGGAAGGTATGCCACAATAAGGTGTTTTGAAGAACACTGAGAAGCTCTTAAATAATTGATGGATGGAGTGTATGTGTGTTTAATCTCTGTATGAGTAGTTTTAACGTGTCCCATTCTGTAGTTCTTCAAAGTAATCAAATTATATAAACTAATCTTTCAGCATGAGAAGCTGTATTCCTCACTGCCTCATTAATTACTACGTGAATATGTGTGATCATTGCTATTTTCAGCTATTACAGCATGCTTAAAGTGCAGAGAGGGCTTTTTTGTACATTTAGCTGTGGCTGACTCCAGTTGTATGTGAGAAAAAAGGAGTGTTAGTTGACATGTACATAGCTCTGCCAGTTATGAAATTGCTGGTGTGATATCTCTATGTTTGTGTGTTTGTGTCCTTATTTTCTTTTTCCTGCAGTAGCTTGGCCTTGCTTTTCTTGGGGGTTAGGTTCTCAGCTGAGAAACCCTGCCTCTACATGGTGTATTGAAGGGCATGTTGCAGGGATGCTTTGTCTGGCCTTTCATATAAGGAGACAGTTGCTTTGCTTTGTGACTTTTCCTGCTCCAACATTGCACTGAATCTGTTCCAAAGATGTGTTCTGAGTAGCAATTTATTTGTGAGATATGTCCTTTGTTCCTTCTCAATGGTCTTCAGGTTCACCAAACCCCAAGCAGAACTATACCAGGCTGTCCTGGATATCCAGAAGTCCTGCTTGAGCCTCTGCTCTCCAGGCATGAGTCTGGAAAATATCTACAGCCTCATGCTGAGCCTTATTGGACAGAAACTGAAAGAGTTGGGTGTCCTAGAGAGCAGCATCACTGACAGCCATTTCTTCAAGGTACTTGAAGATTTTTACTCCAGTTTACCCTTACTAAGCCTGTATTTTCTCCTTGGGTAGTGTTAGTTGCTTTAGTTTGGGTCAGGAATGTGTTTTTGAGATGTCTCTTCTAATTTTTGCCACACACTGTGCTATAATTCATGTTGTGGGCTGGTCTCAGCACAGGCCTGGATTTCTTTCAAGACAGGGCTAAACTTGGAGATGTGTTTCAACAAATTAATCTGAAGTAACCCCCCAGTCTTATATGCACATAGTGTGAATATTTGTTCTCAGCTCTTGCTCTTTCACTCTGCAGATCCATTCCCATTGCTCTGCATTATTTGCGATTTTGCAGATTCAGCTTCAGACCACAGTCTGAAGGGAACCTGTAGGAACATAGGCGCTGACACAGAATTCTGGGTCCAGGACTGGCTGCAGGCAGTTATTTGTAGTTTTCTGATCTGTTTAACATTGCATAAATCTGCAGTACTACCAAAAGGTGCAGCCCATTCTTCTCAGTCATTCCACTTGCTGCCTCTTCTGTACCATTTTGTGTCAGTATTGGGATTCACCTGGTAAACAAGACTGGGAAACTCACCTGCCTTAGAGCTGAACGTGGGGATAAATAAGATTGGTTTGCAGTTACATAAGTTTATCCAGTCACACCCACTGCAAAACTGCATGATTGCTGATGCCAATACAGGAAAGACGGCAGAACCAGGTGACGGCACTACCGCTTTTGGCAGCCGGACAGGTTCCTGCCGGATTTAATTGTGTGCCGGTGCCATGGCAGCGGCGGAGGCTGCCGTGCCGTATTCCCTCGGCAGGTGGCAGCACAGCCAGACGGGAGCGGCGCCTGCAGCTCAGTCCTCTGGGAATGAGAAGTGTGGGGAGAGAGGAATGAGGAGGGAGGAATTAGCTCTTTGATTCCCCCTCAGTAGGGTGGGTGATTAGGATAGTGCGGGGGGAGGCGGTATCTGTGCCCTGTAGAGGTGGATTAAAATCGTGCTGTAGCTACTGAGTGAAATCGGCACAGCGTTTGCTCTGCCGTGCGTAGGACCTCGCTTTGCCACAGCACGGAGCAGCTGTATCCGCTGCTGCCGTTGTCAGGGTCTGCTGATGGAATCATGCAGGGTTTGGATGTTGAAGGAATAGAAAGGGTTGGGGCAGCAAAGCTCAGCGCACTGAAAATTGACGTCTTTCCTGACATGCTGAGATGGAGATGGGCTTGGGCTGTTCTTTTTAGCGAGGGGGAAGGGCAGTCTGCAATGTGCCCATAATGGGCAACTGGTACTGGTGGGTTTTGGGGGCCATCCAGTTCTGGTAAATGTAAGGCAGCCCCTGGTGATCTGGTCATGGCAGTAAGACTGCTAGTTAAGCACACGAGTATTCTGTCTCTTCTTGCTATCTTTTTTATTGGTACGAGTTGGGCTGTGTTTAAGTGCCTCCGTGACACCTGTTCTGTCTTCTGCTAGGCTGTCCAAAAGTACTGCCCACATCATGTGGGTCATTACTTGGGCATGGATGTTCACGATACCCCAGATATATCCCGGTCACTCCCGTTCCAGCCAGGCATGGTGATAACCATTGAACCAGGTAACAAGACATGCAGTCAGTGGTGGACAAAAACATGCAACGCTGAGGATAACACTATTGCTTTCAGTGTTTAGTTGGTACCTCAGATTAAAGCTTTCAGGTTCTTTCTGGTGAAACTGAAAATTATTACAGTATTGGAAAGCCTTAAGTTATTCCCTTCCCAAAGTCATTAAAGTATTAGAACACCCCATTTCCTTCCCAAACACAGCCAAGGTGGAAGTAAACTCAGGCAGCAAAGTATTGTGGAGCACAGATGCAGAAAAGCAGGGTTGGTTTGCTTGTACTGTGTTCTGTGTTCCTGAGACTGAACCTCTACCATCTCTGGTAGTGTAAGTCTCAAGCATACAGTCTGCAATTCACAACTTAGCTTTGCAAATTGGGCATACTGCAATGAATCTTTCTTTTTACTTGTCACTGGATTTGGAGCTGTCAGCTTGAAACTGATATTTAATGCTTGGCTCTTCTCTCTCTCTATTCAGACCATTGTTAAAGTCATCATTGTGAATGTAACGTTGAGAGCAAGAAGTGCAGAAAGGCCAGGTGTAATTGTGGAAGTTTTTATTAATGTGCTAATATCTGAGGGCACAGAGGGACACTTTCCTTCCTTTGCCCACCAACAGCCATGAGTGAGGAGAAAGACAGTAACTTGCCATATTAAAAATTTTTGGGATCAAATGTTATGTTGCTGAAAATCCAACCCTGTTCTCATGGTGGTGCAGTAAGGGAAAGGTCTTGTTCTGGAGAGTGTTGTGTGTTTTAATTCCCTTTCTTCTTTCAGGCATTTATATCCCTGAGGATGACATGAGTGCTCCAGAGAGGTTTCGTGGCATTGGTGTGCGCATTGAGGATGATGTTGTGATAACAGAGGAGGCACCTCTTGTCTTGTCTGCTGACTGTCCCAAGGAGATCTACCACATCGAGCAGATCTGTGGCCGCAGCTCATGATGCCCCTTCTCTGCCTCTTTCATCCTCCTCAGGATACGCAGCCCTCCAGGGATGCAGATCCCTGTAACTGGCTGTAGTTGTCAAGTGATGAAGGGCATCGACAGTTGATGGCTGTTTCCAGGACTGGGGCTGGACAGTGGAATTTAAAAGGCATGGGTACTGAGGGATGAAAAAGCAAAGCAACCTTTTCTGTATGCATTTTTCTTATTATTTGTGCTGATGTTGAGCTGTTATAGGACATGGGGGTGGATTCATCCCTCTGCTGTGTGGATCCATGTGTTCTGGTCCTGCTGGGGGTTTGAATTTTTTCAGTGCCAGCAGCAGGGCTTCTGCTTGGTCCCTCTCCAGATGCATAGGTACAACTGCTGAGACCAGGGCCCCGTTTTTTCCCATTCAGCAGTAGTTTCACAACAATCAGATTCTAAAAATAAAGCTTTGATAAATGCTGTTTTGGGATAATAAAGTGTGTCAGACAGATTTGATTTTTATAGAGCCGTGTAAGGAGGGGGTTTGGTAATCAGGAAGATGGATTTGGTGGAGAGGTGGTTTTCTCTGAAGCCTGTGGAGAATGCTTTTGGTATTTTAAGGATAAGGATGGGTTTGGGCCTTGTTCAGGCATATGTAAAAGAGGCCTGCAGCAGGGAAAAACACCTCATCTGGTCTTTCAGCTTATTGGAGTGTTTGATAATTTCAGAAAGGCTGAATAGGGCTCAAGCATTTGGACATACCTGTTCTTACTGTCTTCCACATTCCCTTCTTTTTGTCCCAAAGGTCCATTCCTTTCTTCTATTCTGAGTCCCTGTCTACCCTAGGAAGCAGGGCCGTGTTGGCTGTGCTGGACTCCACTGGTGAGCTGCTGGCTGTCACCTAGATGTGAGGTGTCCAGTTCTGGGACAGTCACAGCACCTTTCTGGTTTATGCTTACTGTATGCTGAAAGTGCCAGCAGCTTCACCAGTGTGTTTTTGAAGAGTATGTCCTATGGCGAGTGTCAAGTCTTTACACAGCTTTGATATGGAATTTAATGGAATTTAAAGTAATTCTCCTTTTCAGAACTCTGAGGGCATGATCACAATTGCCTTTTGGGTTTTGCCAAGTGCTCTGTGATAATACTTTTGAGGCAGCTGCTAATATGATTAGGGGCTGGGCTGGATAAGGATTAAAGAGAAGAGTTGTCTACCCTCAATATCACCACCCGGTATTACCACCCAGGCTATTGTATGCCATAGTAAATACATCTACTAGAGGCAAACACGGCATCTGTGTATTTACTGAAAATATTTTGACAATCAACTATTTAACATGTCTGAAAAATGCTTCTCATCAGTGCATCTCCTGTTATTTATGCTTGCTGCTGCATCACCTTACTTCCTTTCTGATGGTAGCTTTCAGTGCTTTTCATCTGTTATTCTAAATTTTCTTTTTCTCTTCTTTTCCTAGATTGTCTGTTTTTGACCCACTAGAATGTCACTGCTTCCTAATCCATTTTACTTTCTTATCAACGTTGCTAGCTCTTCCCCAGTTTGCCCTAATTCCCCATAGTGAATGTAGCCAGAAGCATGTGGGGAAGGTGGTCAGGGTTCTGGAGTTTGATCTCTGGCTCTGATGCTATGTGATCTCTAGTGAAATCTGAGTGCTGTTTTTGGGTTTGTTGTTGGTTTTTTTCGTTCTTTCCTGTGTTTCATTTCACTTAGTGAAGGCCAAATGGACAGTGTCTTGCATCTCTCATTGCAATTTGATGGGAGCTGGGTGCACACACTGGGGTTTGAATTTTGGCACCTAAAAGGCAACCAAGACATGCCATAATTGTATGTTCTAAACATGACAAAAATAAATGCTTTTACGGGGTTTAGTGTATCAAGTTTCACCTAGTTAAGAGGATCTGCTAATCTTTGATGGCAGCATTTGCTAAATATTCAGGTGTTGCAGTGATAGGTACAGTGTAAATTGTTAGAAGGAAGGCTTGCTAAGTCTGGACACAGACCTGATGAATACTTCTGATGAATACTTTCTGATCTGTAACATGTTTGTTGTTCCAATTACACCTGTTAGAGCCATATCAACTGGGCCAAATATTGGGGATTTTGGAACTATGTAAGCAGCTTAAAATAAATTAATCTGAGAGCTACATGTGTGTGCTGGTCTGCACATCTGCCCATATACCTAACAGAGTTAATAATTGTACTTACTGTAAATAAGCCTTTTAAGTACATATTTGAAAAGGTTATTTTTTAAATAAATTTGTAGAAAGTCATTTCTCAGGCCATCAAGTTGCGTGGCTGTTGAATAGATATAAGTACGTCCAGAAAAAGCATTATTTTTCAGGGAGATTTATAAATTACCTGTATCTTGTCTTGGACTTGAAATAACATTGCCAAATGTAGGCACACACAGATTCCTACTCCTCTCAGGAAAACCCTGCAACTTGTGAACACCAGTAGATCTTACGAATGCTGTAGATGAATGTTTCTGTCAGTAAAGAAGCATTTGTGGCTCTGCTGAGTGGGGAGTAATGGATCTGCTATGGCTGCTGTGCCTCACTGTGCTGTGACTGATTTAGGCCGTGCATATTCTGTAATTCTTCCTTTGGTATCATGATCTGTAATTCTTCCACTGTGTTCAGCTATTTCTTCAGCATAAACCTCTGCTATTTTGAATCTGTTGTTCCATATAAAGAGTGCATTTTGCACAAGGTAATAAATCTACGTCCTATGAACCTAAGTTTTTGAAGGCCTTTTCTTACTTGTTGCAGAGATGAATAATCTGGGACTTACACACATGCTGCAGTGTCCCTTGAAAACAATAAATCCTTCAACATTTTACATGACCTTCATCAAGAAACTCTAAAGAACCCCTTCGCTGGCTGCAGACAAGGCACATACCTGTGGTGTATCTCCCCTGTTGCTGATTCCATTCTGCCAGACTTACTGTCTGCCTCTGCCACAGAAGAGATTCCTCAGTCCAACCACTTGGGTGCAGGAGCAGCTCTCACTGGCAGCACAAGTCGACAGCTGCCTGATGAGGGTGTTGGTGGGATCACTGGGACCGAAAGACAAATTGAGGTCTGCGCAAGTTCACTTGGGGACAGATTTTGTTTCAACTACGGCACAAGTCTTAAGGGCATCAGAGTATGAGAGAAAATGAGAGCCAGCCATCCCTATGGAGAAGCTGCTTTGCTTCCAGAGGAAGCCTGAGAGACTTCTGGGTTTCCCGTTTCACCACTTACCAGGGGACTGCTTTGCCTTGCAGAGAACTGGTAAAGTCCTGTTGTTAAAATACAATCTGAGCAGAGGTACCAATTCGCAGATATGCTTCTGTCATAAGAGTGGAAAGAAATGTGGCATTTAACACAATTTGGTGCTCTATCTCTTTTAGAAAAATAAAATATGTTTTTCCTAAAAGTGCATTCATTATTTTGCAAAGGAACCTGATGGTGTAGGAAGTAGCAAACCGAGGGAGCACAGAGAGGAGAATGGAGGTTTTTGGGAATGTACAATGCGATAAGAGAAGAATCAGGAGAAGGCTGTGATTTGGAGCTGCAGGTATGTGTGCAGGGGGATGGGAGACCAAGGAGAGAAAAACAGGGCATAAAATGGCTATTCAGTATGTTGTCAGAATGGTGCAATAACTCCAGAAAACTGGTTATGCTGTTTCATAACCCTGATTGATTTGTCCTACTCAGTAGGGAGGAACAAAGGAGTCAGATTGTATTGATGAACTTGGTCTTAACAGTTAGTTTAATTATTTCTTTTAAAAATCAATAGAATTATCATATGAGAAAGTTTTCTGCAGTTTCGTATTATTGATCATGTGTCATATTTTAAATAATGTGAAGGGGAAAAAGTATGTTTCTAGGCAAAGTCTTCATTATGATGGAGGGAGCAAGGCTGAGGTTACATGCTCTTATGCTACCCAAATTACTGCTTTGGAAATTGAGTAATTACTCCCAGGAGAACTACCATAAAGCAAAAAAGAGATAGGGCTAAACTTGGGAAAAAAAATCTATATGAGATAAATGGCAAAAATGTTTTAATTATGAGGAGATATTTAATACTTTGTGTAATTGGATAACGAAACTCTGCACTGCAATAAACTGACAGTTTTTAATTTCTTTGAAACTGCATTGTGCAGAAGCCTATATGGGCGTCTCTTCATTAGTATGCAGATCTAAACTGCATTTAAGTTTATAATTCCGACATCATTACAGCACCTCTGTTAAACCTGCTCCCTACATGCGTCCTTAGCCTATGCTTGATTAGAAATCATTGTTTGGACACTGTCACAATGCTGGCTCCAGGAGCGGGTCTGACTTATATGTTGTGTTTCAGAGGTATAACAAGAAGTTACATTCTGCTTTAAAATGTATAGTTGAAATGGTCAGTGAGGCACTCTGGGCTCAATGACACTCAATTTCTCCTCTCAGGTCCTTTCTCCTTCTCAGAGTCTGTCTTGCTGTCTTAATTGCTGCCAACTCTGAGCCTTCCTGCCTAGCAGCCAGTGGAGCAATGAACCCTTGTTTTCCTGGGACAACTTGGGCCTCAGCCCACCTGGTTGTTTCTCTGAAGCATCACCCGATAGTTGGCTAACCAAAACCAGGCTCTTCAGAAGACAGACAGAAAGGAACAAGGAAGAATTTGTAGGTCCTCCATGTGTGTTACCTTCACTTGCTGACTCATACCATGTATGCCTTTTTAACTACCATGACAGAGTTATCCATTAACAATGGCAAAGGAAACAAATAATTCCTGTCTGGGTAAGCCTGATGAAGAGATTTTTGAACAAAAAGTTAACAAGCAAGTTAGTTGTAGACCCAGGAGTGAGAATGACTATTATAGGCTTCAATATGTTCCTTCCAAGGGGGGAACAGGTTGGGGAAACAAGTAGCACTGCAGGAGCAATGTGCGATATTGGTTTGGGAGCTTTTTGCGAATGCTGGTCTCAGACGTGCTGTGGTGGGCCAGAACTGACAGTGGTTAAAGCTCTGTATTGGGTTTTTGCCTCTCAAGACCATGAGGAGCCTGCAGCTTTTTAAGGGAATCTCAGTTTTTCGTAAGTCAGTCAGGAATGGCAGCAGAGGTTGAGAACACTCAGCCTGTGGTTCAACTAGAAGGAGTTGGCATTACAGCAAAAACTTTTGGAAATGCAGCTCCTTCCAGGGAAATAGGCTCACTGCATTTTTTTTTCCTGAGTAAATCAGGCCAATGTGAACAATATTGCATGAGAGGGAGAGAGGCTCAGCTTCTTTTTATTCCCAGCAGAGCAAGGCTTCTTCCTCCGTGCACCTTTGGGATACTAATGCAAAATGGGATAGGCCACTGATCCAAGTTAAGATTAAGCAGTCTGACTCTTGTACCAGGAAATAGTTAGCAGATGTCAGGTAATCTCTTATCATGTGAATATTTTACTCAGAGAAGTAGTGCTTTAAGTTTGGGCATAATATACTTCGCTTTTTTAGTCTAATTTGCACACAGAGTGTAATATATAACATCAGTTTTGCCTGTGGGAGCCATAACCAACATCTCTGTAATTAACAGTATTGCATCTCAGTCATGTACATGTAGCAAATACAGTCATTCAGAGAAAGCACAGTTGTTAATGGCACGGCAGGGGTTGGGGTTTAAGTTTTCTCAGTGCAGGTCTTGTTCCAGGCTACAAAACCTGGGATTCCTGGTACTGCCTGTGAACACTCTTTCTTTCTTCCTGTTGGCAGATCAACCATTTTTATTGAGTGGCCTCTGTGGAGTTTGTAACTTGTGTTGGCATTTCTGTGCTGTTGTCCTAATGTGTCATCAGGATCTGCTTAACGTTTTCAACATTGCTTCTTGGATAGACAAGGTTTGATGAGGCATCAGGTTTGGCTGGCTCCTCACACACCGTGCGTGTGCTCCATCAGCCCAGCTGCATGGGTCTTCTTGTTCTCTGAGGGACAGAGAGGCACGGCCCTAGTCATGGCTCAGGAATCTCCAGTCCTTGCACCCCCATGCAGCTGCACCTGTCATGGAGGCCTTAAATCTTCAACTGTCCTTCTACTGTTCCCCCTCCGGACTTGTAGAGGTACCAGTCTGCAGCCGAAAGCCGTAGCCTCTGGTGTGCTTGTTGCACTGACCTTTTGTCAGATTCCATGAGGTGCCGCTGAGGTTCCTATGATGCATTGCAGATATCTGGTATGTATATTGCTTTCTAATTTATGCTTTCCACTGTTCTTTTTTTCCAGGAGATGAGCTATTTAACGGCTACATGGGTGTTACTGTGGTGACTGTAACCAGGCAAAAACATGCTGTTCGTATTGAGGTAATTCTACATTTGTGGACTCAGATATGATTAAGAGATTTTTAAAGGCTTGCTCTATTCTTTGCTCTTCCCAGCAGAACAGAGAGAGGTTTCTCATGAACTTTCAGTCACACACCATGAAGTAGAAAGGTATGATTCATCTTCAAAAGCATGTGTGTATTAATATCTATATACAAACACCACATATTAGGCAAACAAATGTTGTGACTTCTAGCTAGTTAGATATTTAGAAGATATTTTCTCCAAGCATAATTAAGATTGTTTAGATATTTGACTCTTAATTTCTTTGTACTTTAATTGGATTTCTTATTAAATTTAATTTTACCCTAGAATTTTCAGGGTTTATAATTCTTGGGCTTTGAATAATTGCATTATGTCTGTCATATATTTTACTGTAAATCACTGCCATGTAGCCTTAACTTTGCCTCCCATCTTCAGTGGGGTTTTTTTCACTTTTGTTGTGTAATTTCCCTGCGCTATGAGGCTTTTTGAGGAGACAGCATTCCGTAATTCTCACCTGAGGAGTGCCCTTCCAAAAGAAGGTGTGAATGTGCTATCTCAAAGATGTGATTATTATTCTTGAAATTTAAATCTGTAAACTGTGTGAGTTTTGAACCCAAATACATCATTCTAACTTAGATTCTCAGAGAAATAAAATAGTACAAGTGTAGCAATTAATGGGAAGAAGGATTGTAGTGCAAACCTGAATTCCTAATATCCTGATAACTGTAAATTAATCTCAGCAATTAGATATGAAAGCTATTTCCCTCCAGTGTGCAACTTTCTCTGCAATTTTAGTGAATGTTAATAATAAATTAGAATGTAAATAATAAGAAGACCAATAAGCTGTTTCTCTAAGCTCATTTTGGACAAGAAATGCACCAAATGCCACATTTCTTGAGGACTCAATTTTTAATGAGTCACAAGCTAACAGAGGACTGAGTTGAAAATCCCATAGAATATTGCCTGTATTCTGTTAATGAATTTCAGTGAATGAAAGGGTAGGAGGGAGGACCCCTTCAATCAAGTAGTTTGAGCACCTTCCTATTGCAGCCATTGTGTTTCACCTCCTAAGTTTAGTGCTGAGCCTGGCAGCTCGTGTGTGACAGCAATAGATTCCTCAGTAAGGCATCAAGCCTTGATCTAAAGGCTGGGGGAGGGAGAAGGATGAGGTGGAGAACCATTTCTTTCAGTCATTTGCTCCAGCTGTTAACCACCCCATCATCAGAAATCTATGCACCTTTTTTTCCTATGCCCGTAACAGGCATTATAGGGAGGATAAGGAGCAACTTTATATGTTTAATGAAGAGTTTGGATAACTGCTCTGTGTTCAGTTTAGCCTTGACAGTGGAACTGTGACTGTATTTCTATAAAAACGTCTAAAACTCTGAAATTCATTCTCATTTCTCGGAGTCCCCAGAGCTGCACAA